GCCATCCAAGAAATGCGTTGGACGGGGAAAGGCAAGCAACGTCTGGGGCCTTGCGACGTCTACTACAGTTGCCATGTAAAGGAGCGCAAATTCGGTGTTGGATTTGTGGAGGGAGGGAGACTCCGTCGCCGAGTACTGTCGTTCACCACCGGTGGACGAGCGTCTAGCCACAATCCGCATCAAAACGAGAATCTTCAACATCTCGGTCATCTGCGCCCATTCCCGGACGGAAGAGAAGGATGAGGCATCCAAGGATCTCTTCAATGAGCGCTTGGAGCGCACGTACGAGCGCTGCCCCCGTCATGATATCAAAATCGTGCTTGGCGACTTCAATGCCAGGGTGGGCAAAGAAGGGATCTTTGGAACCACCGTCGGAAAATTCAGCCTCCACGACGAAACGTCCGACAACGGATTGAGGCTGATCGACTTCGCCGGGGCCCGAAACATGGTAGTATGCAGTACTAGGTTCAAGCATAAAAAGATCCATCAAGCTACCTGGCTGTCTCCGGATCGAAAAACGAGAAACCAAATCGATCATGTTGTGATAGACGGAAGGCACGCTTCCAGTGTTTTAGACGTACGCACACTCCGAGGCCCAAACATCGACTCGGACCACTATCTTGTTGCAGCCAAGATACGCACCCGCCTCTGTGCAGCAAAAAATGTGCGCCCAAATATGCAAGGAAAGCTTAACGTCGAAAAGCTGCAATCACAACAGACAGCCAGCGCTTTCGCTACTCGACTCTCACACCTGCTCTCAGAGAGCACTCTTCAACAAACACAACAAACCGACATATGCGAGCAGTCTAACCACTCATTAGGTACCGCCGCCGAAGAAGTAGTCGGATTTCAGCGAGCCCGAAAGAATAACTGGTACGATGAGGAGGGCAGAGAAAAAAGATGCCGCCTACAGGGCCACGCTGCGATCGGGCGCAACGCGCGCTATGTGGGACCGCTATAGGGATCTGAAGAGGGAAGCGAGACGTATTTGCCGCAATAAAAATTGAGAGGCCGAAATACGTGAGTGCGAAGAGCTTGAAATGCTGGCCGACAGGAAAAAAAATCAAATTGGTTAAGAATTCATTTCAGTTTGACATTATAGCCTGTTTCTTAAGAGAGACTCCTGTAAGAACAATAATGGCGACCTAGTANTGCCGCAATAAAAATTGAGAGGCCGAAATACGTGAGTGCGAAGAGCTTGAAATGCTGGCCGACAGGAAAAAAAATCAAATTGGTTAAGAATTCATTTCAGTTTGACATTATAGCCTGTTTCTTAAGAGAGCAATGTCAAAATCAATCACACTTTGTTTGATACATTTTGTATACAACCATTCAATAACTACAGGTTGTAGCAATCGTACGAAAACAACATTTACCGTTGGTATGAACCCCTTGTGTCATCAACAGCTTCTTTATCCCCAATAAACACCAAAAAAATATTTCTCCCACCTTGGAAAAATTCATAGGTCTCAACTTGATATCCAACATCATTCTCCAACTCATCTCTAACCGACGCGCAGATACGTAAAAAGTGATAGAGAAACGAATTTTTAATCATCAAGTGAAAAACGAAAGCTATATAAAGAGGAAAATTACCAACAAAAAGTAAATAATCTTCAAAGTATCCTCAAATAATCTGGAAAGAAAGTAAAACGGGAAGTGAATCAAGTGGCAAAATCACTGTCGGACTGTAAACTGAAGTGAATGTAATACGATATTGATTAACTACATAATACAAAAGGAGTAATAAAATGAAAAATTAATATTTAAATTCATCTATGTATGTCGTTTCAATCAAAAAGGTATAAGGTATTTTATTATTTCAGCTTCAGTATTTCAAAGATATGTTTGAGACCAATTGGAGAATTACATTTCCACAGCATTTTCTCAACTTGAGAAACAGTCCTTTTTCCATACAAAGAAAAATTCCCTTTTTGTTGAGAACGCTATGATCCTCCACTTGAGGTACTGTTGAGAAACAACGTTGGAGATTTGAGAATTACCTTAGTTCTCAACTTAATCTCAAGTTGAGCTAAAACCTAAATGTTTGTTGGGTCTATTCATATTCGTATGTATATGTATACCCTGCATACCAGGATTTCAGAGTATTCTGAAAGGTTTCATATTTTTTTTAAAGAATTTTCTTTAAGAAATCGTACAGAAATTTCTTCACTAGTTCTTGTAAACCGCTTCATATGTTTCTCTTTAAAGAATCGTAACGAATTTCCGATACTCTTAAAGATTTCGGGAGCATTTGTTTGCAGTGTATATATTTACGTTTACGAGTATGTATGCGCGGATATGTAAACAAAACCGAAACAGGCGATAATTTGACACAAGCGTGCTCATAAGAAGAAGCATGGCTTCTATCGCTATTACTTGTGGTTGATACGCCTTGAACCATGATTCAATAATACAAGGTGGTATCAGTTGTGACAGCTCGATTTGGCACTGCCTTAGCTCAGTAAAATAAGAAGAAAAAAGGGAAGAAATTAATCCCCATTTGGGGGAAAAATATAAAATTTCATATTTTCTTCTAAACAAAATTAGCTCTTCTATACTATATTCGCAATGAAATAAAATAAAATAAGATATAATACCTTTTCGAGAAATTAATATGTGTATACTAAGAAAAAATAAAAAAAAGTCAACTATATTATTAGGCAAAGAATTGTTAAGCTAAGGCAGCCAATATGGCGGAATTAGAGCGCGAAGTTGCCAACCGATAACACCTTGTATTATTGCATCATGGCTTGAACCGCCTTCTATCAGCAGTGTTGCTAACTAAAGAACCGAAACCCCCATTCCGCTTTGAAAAACGCCCTGTTTATCCCATTTTAAAATACGAAAATCTCATTTATGAATATTAAATATTAAAAGATTTTAATAACAGTACCAAAAAAAGTGTTTTTAGCAGCCAGTTCTAGTTGTCCGTTTTCACTTTTCTTTCATTGCACATGGCCTTATGGTTATCTCTACAGCTATAAACACAGCCGTAATGCGACTCTGATAAAGATTTTTTTATCTCGTTAACAAGGCCTTTCTGTGCAATGCAAAAATTAATTATCCAATAAGTAAAATTCATCGACTTTAAAAAAGTGGCTAGTTATTACAAAACTACCTTTATGGAAAGGTTGTCAGCGTGCATAGAAATGCTTATTGGATGTCCTACCCGTCACAGCACGATATGTTTTTTTAACATAACTATACGTTAGCTTCCCATTGTTTAAATAAGGTACTTTTAATATATATTCATATCAAATTAGTATTGTTCATTTTACTCACGAATTATGTGTCATCAATAGTGACCCATTACAAAATACTGTCCCACCCGTCATAGCTAAAAGTTTTTTTTTTCAAATATAATAATGTCATCAAGCATAAGATGGACCCTCCTTACATTCTATTACATAGATTCGAGAAAGCCGCTATGCACGAAATATTTGGATACAGTTTGCCTAAAATTAAGAAACGAATCCATCAACCCCGGCACTCTTGAAAAATGAAAATTTGTTGTTGAAATTATATAATTATAAAATTATATAATATCTGAATTCAGAGGGTAACAGTTTAAAACTTGGCAAATTAAGGGTTAAAGAGAAATTACTTTACCTTTTGAGGAAAAACGAGTTTAAATGTCCCACCCGTCACGTTGTAATGCCCCATATATGTTTGAATAAAGAGATGTAACAATGAATGAACAGCAAATAAAATATAAAAACAATTACACCACAATTTTTTTTTTAGAAATGCCATTAGGAGACATAACTTTCCACGCGCCCTTTTTTGGTGTGAAAATCCCAAATAATGGGCGACACTGTCTAGCAGTTGGCCAACTGGTTGGCCGATAAATCAATGCGTGTGTGTGGCCTTTTAATATTCATATCAGGGATGGAATCTCAAAATTTCAAAATGTGCCGAATGGTCTTCAAAAATAGTGCCGGAAACAAGATGAAAGTGCCACAAAATTAGATTTTTTAAGGCGTTTTAATATTTTTAAAATACACTGAAGTAATATAATAATTATTAATTAGCTAATTTTTTACAGTAAATCACTTTTATGAAGGATTCCTTAGACATATATAAATTCATAGTAAAATTAAACAGAACTCCAATCATGGAGGAGAAATACACCGAAATATAGGTATTACGACATTTTTACACACTTATACGTATTCATGTACCTATATGCGAAATAATGACAGTGAGACATTTTGACCAGTTTCACTTATTCTGTTCATTGATTATTTTTCGAATGATTTTATATAAAAGTCTTATTCATAATTTAATAAACACAATATACGCACAAAAATCGTCACTTTAAACTTTGCACAAAAATTATAAAAATTCAGCAGGTTTTCCCAACCACAAACTTTTATTTCAAAATTTTTAAGGACTTTCCAAGTTTTCATTTTAAGGACTTTCCAAGTTTTCATTTCATGCATTTTTTTCCATATGAAGTGTGTTCGAAAGNTAAATATTATAAAAATTCAGCAGGTTTTCCCAACCACAAACTTTTATTTCAAAATTTTTAAGGACTTTCCAAGTTTTCATTTCATGCATTTTTTTCCATATGAAGTGTGTTCGAAAGGTTTTCAATTGATGAAAATGTATGTCAGAAAAAAAATATCAAAAATCATCGGGATGTTGGAGAATCTTGCAATTTTATTTAATGGACTATAAAACTGCAAACTTAGAATCTTTCTAAAAATTCCTAATTAAAAGCTTGTTGTTACGAAAACTTACTTTTCGTACTGCGTATTCACAATAGAGTTCAGCGGTTTGTAAATATTTCCCACGGCTCTTAATTTAATTTTCAGTGCTTTTAATTTTCACATTTTGTGTTTTCTTAATCAAATTTCTGTATGATTGTGCCAACAGGTTGAATTGTGCGAAAAGTACTTCTGTGAATGAAAGTACCAAAAATGGCACTACTGTGCCTGCTTTTTCATCACTGATACATATATATATCGATATGTCGTCTTTATCGAAACATATGTGAATTAACCATCCCTTGCAATCGCTTAATTCTTTTCCTGGCGCTGTTTGGAAGCTGTTGATCAGGAGTATTTACCTTCAACTCTAATTAACGGCATTTTAAAATAAATATTCTCTAACAAAAAGAGCAGTGTGTGAATAAGTGCTCAAATTTCCAGCATTTCTCCGGCGTTACGTCAACTTTTCTTTTTTGTGGCGTCCCGGAGATTGGATGCTTACGACTCGCAATGGATTCGGATAGGGAAAAACACATTTCTGTAACACATTTCATAAACCCACAATTGTTCTGGTTTCATGAAAATACTGTTCCCAATGCGGACTTCCATCAAATTATGGAGATGGAAGATCAACTCGAGCAATACTACAAAACTCATCAACCGTGGACCCAGAACGTGCGCAAGCCACAAGTTAAAATGCTGGTAGCTGCAAAATTCTTAGCCTGGCAAAAAATGATACGAGCACGTGTTGAACATATTGCAAACTTCAGTAAAAATAATCAGGAAGGTGAATTTATATTGTGGGCAATTGATTATGGTTTTCCCTTTCAAACCAAATCGGACTATATCTTTCGTTTACCGGATAAGTTGTGTAATAAAGTTGATCGCATACGACGTGGGGGACTGTGTGATCTTTCTCCAGCTGAACAGGATTTTGATTTTCGAATGAATTCTGTTGTAACAAATGCCAAAGAACTTTGGAGCCAACGCGCATGCGATCTATTCGACAAACTGCTAAACGAGTCTGAATCTGTAGTGTTTATTGAGAAATTCAAAACCAAGGACCACATATGGGGCGATGTAATTGTGACTACGCATTTGGGAGATAAATACAACGTCCGTGATTTCCTTATTGGTATGTGTTTGGCAATGGACGCTAAGGAAGATTTCCGCAGCAAGTGTCTCAATTTGAAAGCCACAAAAATTTTGCCATGGATGACAAATAGTGGCAATAGTAAATTCAGTGTAAACAAAGCCTTCTTGTGTGCCCGTAGCGATCGTGACGATAAAAAAATACAGCAATTGGTTAGCGTGGAAAGAAATGACTATGCAAAGAAAAAAGTGGAGGATTGGTGTGCACGAAATGAACTAGCGACATTTCAGGAATCGCCTGACATCGAAGCCGATATGTTACTGGGCAGTATTACATTTGACGATTCAGTATCGAACATTAATTTTGAAATTCGAAAACAAGAATTCGATGAAGCCGGGGAATTAGCGAAAAAAGCAAACCTGACGAAGAAAGAAAGCCCAGAAAAGCTAAGACAATTTGATTTCGACTCAAGCGGTGAATCCCATAAACCTTTAATTGAAGCGGAAAATAACTTTGATTTGAGGGAAAAACTTATTGATGATGTAGAGTCTGTCTGCGATGAAATAAATGAACAAAAACTTGGCATGGCAGGGGCATTGACCAAATCAAGAAAAAATAAATACGACCGAAGAGAATTACCACCAAAGCCAAGCAGTGTTGATTTTGATATGAGTACTGAGTCCGAAAAAGAAATAAGATTAGCAAATAAAGAAGCACAAGAGAATGCTGAGCTCCTAAGTGGGGTACAATCGATGGCTTCAATGAATACGTGTATTTCGTCTAGGAAATTAAGGTTACTGGAAAAGCGGAAGCAGGTAAAATTTGACTGAATAAAAAAAAATCAATCATAAAAAATTTCAATTGATTTCCTTAATAGATGAACAAGAAACAGTCTTATGAGCCAAATGTAGCCAAAACACAGAAGGCGTTGAGCATTGAGAACGTGTGTCATACGAAAAATAATCTCATAGATTTAAGCTCTAATGCGAGCACTGCTATAGACTCGGACATAGAAAAACAAATGGTAAGTAATACTATGTTTACATAAAAGTGGATTATCCTCATTTTCGAGCTTAACTCCCAAATCTGTAATTAGAAAAGAGTTTAGACATACAAACTTCGTCCCTCGTTAATTTGTATTTATAAAATAAACTCGGATAAAACCGATAATATTTCCGTGTCCATTCTAGTTTTGTCGTTTATTTTTGTCGTAATTTTTCAGTTAAATTGCTTTCGTGACATAGGCTGTTAATTTAGTAATAAAGGTGATCACAGTGGCACAGAGAACAAACGCAACTTTTCCATGAGTTGTGAGAATAATTGACGGTTAATAATCTAAGATTTGCCTGTGTAAACGAGGTTAATAACAAATGAGCTTTGTTTGATATTGTATTTATATGTAAACGTACTTTAAGGGTACAGTAACCGTAATCATAAAAATATTAAGATTACAATTACTGTAATAGTATTCATGTAAATAGGATTACGATGACAGTAGTCGTAATCATTAAATTTCTACGATTACAAATAAGCTATTCGCAAAGAAGCACTTCGTGATTACGATTACAGTAATCGAAAAACTAGTTTTGCTTAGAGCAAATATTGATATTTATACACAAAATACATAGTTCTAAGTTGTGAATTCGCGTATTCGTTTGGATTTGTTGTAATATTCTAAACAGAATCGTCGTCGGAGTACATTCAATAAAGTTTGATTTTGATTTATATTACTACTTGCACTTTAACTAAATTTTACACAATTTTCGGTGAAAGTTCCGCCTAGTTACTTAACTACTAAACCTCTACAGAATGTGATTAAATGAAAATCAACATTTTCTTAATTACTATTTAAGATTACAATTAAAGTGTTCGTAATTGTAATTTTCATGATTACAATTACTGTAATTGTAGTCTTAAAATTTTTAGGATTACAATTACAGTTTTCGTAATCAAATATTTGGTAACTACGATTACAGTAATCTTATTCCTTGAATCTTTAAGACTACAATTATTATAATCGTAATGGTAACATTTATGATTACAATTAAAGTAATTGTAATCGTGTATGATTTAAGGATTGCAATTAAGCAATCGTAAGTTAAATGTAATCGTAATCATAAAGTGCCCAGCTCTGCTCAAATCTATCTTGGTAAAGTAAAGTCTGAAATCGATTAGTTCAATTTTGTCAGTTTTAAGGTCTATATATTTATTTTATTATTTACAATTTACGCAAATGAATCTGCCTTTAAGATTTCTGTGTAAATTATTTTGTTTTCATAAAAGCAAAAAACTGTTTTGGAGGATTATGAGAACAGCACCTCTAACAAGAGCGCTGTATCTTCGTCGACTGCAAATTCTCGTCACAAACAAGAAGAAAGTAACACTGACAGTACATCTAATACAAACGAAATTAGCACACCACAAAGCTCAAGTGCATCAAAACGAATGGAAAGGCTTAGAAAGGTACCTATCCTGAAATCATGAAATTAAACTACTATGAAATTAATATTATCCTCTCTCAATAGAAACGCTTGGAACATATTAAAGCAGATATGATTGAAACTAATAAACATGATGGTATGAAAGAGGATTCATCTAACAACAGCAAGAATCAAAATCACACACAATTAAGCTGCCAAAGTGAACACAACGCCGCGACTACTAAGACCAGCGCTCATATTAGCCGTTTGATGAACTTGCGTAAGAAGGTAATCCTAGAAAATGTTCAAAACTCATCCTAAAAATTCTTTACATTTGTATGTATGTATATTTGTTTGTATATGAAAACGAAGTGAATGCTTAATGTTGAATGTCTACTTTTTGTATATGTTACTATACATAATGAGGAAAAGGAGCTACAAAGAGTTGTTAAAAACTTAATTGTATTCAAAAGTTGAATGACGTGGTCCTTTTCAAAAGTCTGTCAAACTCAAAAATTTCCAAAAGAGATTGCAGGAGCAGTTACACCTTGCATGTAATGTGGCTTTCGAAAGCAGTTTTCAGTACGCTGTTTACACGGGAAAATAGACTTTCGCTTTCGTGTGACGGCTTGCATTGCACGTTTTACTGCACTTTAACAACTTAAAATGGCATATTTGATCTAGCGCACACAAATCAACTGTCTGCAACTGTGCAAAATACGAGAAGTGGCTGGGAAAAGTGTTCTTTTTGTTCTTGTGGTAAGCAGTAGGCGTGTGTATGTATAAACGCGTGCACGGTGGAGAAAATCTAAATAGGGAAGTCACGTTTTATCAAGTTTTGGCTGTTTTTCTTTATTGAAAAAAATGTTTATTTTGTTTTTATGAAAGTATAGCTCACTATCTAACAAAAACTATGTAAATCAAAATTTTAAATTTTTTATTTAGAATTAAAAAGATTTTGAGGTATGCTGTTTTATAGCCTATTAAAAGTAGCTAGGACTTACCTTTAATTTTTGGCAATATTTTTAATGCTTGTTCTTCCATATAAAGTACGTTCGACAATTTATATATGGAGAAAATGAGCAACAATTTCATCAAAAAGAATTGGAAAAATTCAACATAAGTCCTAGCCACTTAAAACTTGGACTTTATTGTAAAAAAATGTAATGGGTTATAAAAGTGCATACCTAAAATTTTAAATTTGGTTGAAGATTTGCGAGGTTTTTCCAAATTTTGCAACAAGTTTGAAACTTTGATTTATATGGTTTTTTGCTATAGTGTGGACTACATCTGCATAAAATTTTTTAATAAATTATTTAATAAAACATAGTATACATAAATATATCGCATTTTTTCAACTAATTTGCTTCCGTTTATCATGAGACAAATATGTATGTACATATATGTGAGACGTTTCAAGCCATAGAACACTTATATCCATCGACACAATTTTTGTTTAGATGTCTGTTTTTGTTGACGCGGAACGTCCCATTAGAGGTGTCAAACTATCGATAGTCACACCATCGATAGTTTTGATAGTTTTCAGAAAAACTATCAATATTCACGATAGTCTCGAAAAAACAAAACTATCGATAACACTATCGATAGCGCTAAATCAGTTAGATTGCTTTGTTTTTACAGGATCATAGTGAAATAAATATTATCTTATAAAAGTTATAATCATTCAAAATTAAGTAAATGCTTAGCCAAAATACTTCTCTTTTTAGAAAGTTCAAAAACAAACACAAGTTATACAAACAAAACAGGATTTACCATTAACATATGTATGTATTTTGGCCTAAATGTGTGCATATTTGAATATGACGTCAGCATCACACTTAAAAACAAAATTTTTAATTCAAATTAAAAAATTCCAATAATTTTAAAATAATTGGTAGAGATGATCGATAGTCCTACTAAACTATCGATATTTTCGATAGTATAAGAAAAAACTATCAATGAGTATTGATAGTCTAAAAAAATTGAAACTATCGATACTATCGGTAGTGCCATCGATAGTTTGACAACTCTACGTCCCATCCCTCCAAAAACTTTTAATTTTTTGGAAAGGACTTATTTTTGTATCAATGGAGTAACGCAATACAAGTCGCCTCACGACAATTATCGCTTATCCATTGCATTACTGTAATGCAATGGCAAGAAATTTTACATTTATTCGATTACCTCCAATGACATGCACATGTCAAAATAATGCATTCTGTAAACGAAAAGGTAGGCGGTTACCCTCGATTGGGGCGGCTTGTATTGCTTTACTCCATTGATACAAAAATAAGTACTTCCCATAAAAGTTAAAAGTTTTTGCTGGGATATGTATTTTGCTTTCACTACATTCAAACAGACGCAAGCGACGTACGTCATGACTGCAGTTAGGTGTTGGCGCATACAAAATTTTGTATTTGAATTTGATAAAAACTTGTAGCTAGCCAGTGACAGAAATCTCTATCAGTCTTTCCACTCAAATGATTTGTCAAATGATAGTCACTGTTCTTGCAGGGTACTTTGCCGTGTAAACAGCCAGAGAGTCCTTTTTGCAGATTTGCAGAAATCACCTTCGGAAATAAGAATTGGAAGGTGTAACTGCCCTTTCGAGAAATAATATCAACTTGCGCGTGCTGCACTAGCAATTTTCTGCTGCAAGTGCTGTCAAACCAATCAGTTGTTGCCGTTTGACGCGTTTTTTTTGGCGAATTTGTATAAAATTATAAAAATGTTGAAAGAAATATGAAAATGATGTGTAATTAATTTATTCTACTGAGCATTTAAGTATTAATGTATTATATATTTTGTGTATATTTGCTGTTTTGTGCACATTTTAGCAGGTTTAGCAAATTTTTCAGGTCATTAATTTTGTGTTAACAAGAAAAAAAGGAGTATCGGAAAGTTTGATTTTCAGAAATAAAAACTGCATTCGAAAGCCACTTTACGTGCAAGGTGTTACTGCTCCTGCAATATCTTTTGGAAATTCTTGAGTTTGACAGACTTTTGAAAAGGACTTGCACTTGCCACGTCTAACAGCCACTTTGCACCTTGCAATTCTCATTTCCGAAAGTGATTTCTGCGTATCTGCTAAAAGTACTTTCTGGCTATTTACATGGGAAAGTAGACTTACGATTTCACATTTTGACAGCAAAATGCGCAGAAAAAGTGCTTGTATTTGCAAATTTAACCGCGCCTTTATTTTCGAGCTCTGCTGGCACTAAGTTTGTGGAAGTAAAAAATGATGTTTTTACTATATTACTGGTTTGACTTATTCATGTACATACATCTAATTAATAAACCGAATTCGCTATACTGTAAACGCCGTTAATCAAAAATTGATTAAAATATTTTTTTCTTGTGATTTTCAGTTAAACAAACAAGAAGAAAGTAACACTGAGAGCACATCTCCTAACACAAATGAATTTAGCACACCACAGAGCTCAAACTCTTCAAAACGAATGGAAATGCTTAGAAAGGTACCTATTCTTAAATCATACTAAATCATGAAATTAAGCTCCAATAAAATCGATTAACATTTTCCTTACTCAATAGAAACGCTTGGAACATATTAAAGCAGATATGATTGAAACTAATAAATATGATGGTATGAAAGAGGAACCAACTAACAACAGCAAGAATCAAAATCACACACAATTAAGCGGCCAAAGTGAACACATCGCCGCGCCTAAGACCAGCGCTCATATTAGCCGTTTGATGAACTTGCGCAAGAAGGTAATCCTAGAAAATATTCAGAACTCATCCTAAAAATTCTTTACATATGTATGTATGTATGTTTGTTTGTATATGAAAACGAAGTGAATGCTTAATGTTGAATGTACAATTTTTATATGTTACTATCCATTGTTACTAACAGCATAACGGAGAGGAGTAAAGAATATGCTGTTTATTGTTATTTGGCAATATAAGTATGTAGAACTAAAAGATGATGTTTTTACTAAATTACTGGTTTGACTTATACATATGCATACATCTAATTAACAAACCGAATCCGCTATACTGTAACAAGTAATTTTTAAGCAAAAAACATAACCGACTTCAATTCTCATATAACAATTTAAGATTATCGTTAATTTCTCCATGATCCAATGATTGAAGATTTAAACCAAATTGGTATGCTAACACCTGTGAGGTAACACCTTTTCTTTAAAAAAAGAATTATAGTAATCGGTTACCGTGGTCAAAAGTTATGCGGTAACATACATATCTAATAAAAAAATCCTACGAATTGATAACCTTCCTGCTTTTTGTGAAGTCGGTTAAAAACTGTTCATCAACACATTGATAAAATCCTTAGTCTTGTGATTGTTAGTTAAATAATCCCTTAAACTTATAGTAAAATAATTTGAATAACGCTGAAAATTTTGCAGAATATACTTATGACGTACATATGCCAGAAAAAAAACGGAAACTAAGCGCTATAAAAACCTATATAAATTACCAAAATATGCCCTTAAATATGTTAAATCAATGAAGTTTAGTTTAATTTTTCCAATATTTTTATTCAATAATCGCGGAATTGCGGTTTAGAAAACTTACTTTTTTAAATTATCAGTCGAAAATGGCATTCTCTTGTTATTTAAAATTCTGTGTTCATATGGAAAAGTAGCTTATGTCGAAAGGTTGGCTTTAGTATAATGCGGCATTCCTTTTATTCTTTAAACGACAAGGAATTTTTTGATGAGACTTAATAAGAATATTGACTTGCTAGTATCGGAACTATTTCTTGCGCGTTTATTTGCTAAAAGTAGTTCAACGGCTCAGCGCCAGCGAGTCATTCGGAATCGTATACTGCAAATGCCGATTTATATTAAAGTCAGCCTTTCGACATAAGCTACTTTTCCATACGAACACAGAATTGTTTAATAATTAGAAATACTCCTTTCCACATCCGTAGATATAGTTGGGCAAAATTTAAATAAACCTATTTTTGCTGGGGAGTATTTCGATAGTTGTGGAGCCAGTGAATAATACGTATTTTATTTTAGCGAAATCCAAATTGTTCATATTATCAAGATCTATTATTCCACATACATAGGTAAACTGCTTTTTATTAAATTTTTTATGCATTTCATTCATTGCAGTCTTACAAAGTAAACAAATCTTGAATATGAGTTTTTAGAACACATTTTTATAAAATATGTAGCTTCACAAATGAATCAAAGCAAGGTACGTTCCCACGACAGTCGGGTCTACGTAACCGGAACGACCCAGATTTATATTTGGCCAAGGACTGTCACTCCAGCATCTCTCCCCAAAAACTCTTTGGGGAACTTGTATGCTATTACAACACCAACAACAACGGGTTATTTTAAAACAAATTCTGCAGCAGCTGTGTAACTAATATATGATCTAAACATACATTTTTTTTTGTTTCTTTCATGATTTTATGCTCTTAAAGCATTCCATCTCATTTTTTGAGAATTAGGATGTTCACGCTATACAGCGTTTCAATCGTTCATACTACAGAGTAGCCAATATAAAAAAATAGACTGTTCACCCAAGAGAGTGTTCATGTTACCCTATGTTCATGCCACCCCGAGTTCACTGTACTTTCAACTTTTTTTTTAATATACATATAGTTACCTTAACTCGCAAGTGGCCTAACCAATAATTTTTTTCACAGATTTTGGGAGGGTATATTGAAATACAGGCTGACTTCCAAAACGTCAATTGCATTGCATACGTACAAAGTTTAATGTTCCAAGACGTCGACCTACAATTGGTTGACAATGTATACTTTTCCAAAACGCATCCGAAAAGTTATCGAAACGCATCGCTGGAGTAATCAGCGCATCAGACACAAAGGTGATACTTGGTTTGCTTTTTGGTTACCATTGGTGTTTTAAAAATGGAAAATGCCGAAATGGTGATTATTGCTTTATTAAATATTCAAAATATGCAATGTTTCGCAACTCTGCATATGCAAACAGTTTAAATACCACAGTAGAACAGTATCCAAACATTGTATTGATACGTTTGGGAAGTCAGCCACACCTTCAATAAAAATTTTAAAGTGTTTGTACCAGAAACCACGGAGTTACATGCCAATTTTTAAAAGGCCATACCTGGTTTTGATATTATTCTTTATTTTTTGTTTCCCCTGTAAAATAAAAAAAAATTGTTGGTTACATAAGGCCTTTGCGAATTAAGATATCCATATGTATATTTGTGTTCAACCTTTAGTAATGCTCTTTCACAGTCGTCGCAGTTTTTAAGCTTTCTGTAAGTGTCAAACCTTTTGTTTGAAACTTTTTAATACCTACTATCAAACAACCAAAATTCGCCTTTATGAACGCCACCTTGTTTCACGCACTTCTATCGTTTTTTATCCCGAAAGGGTAAACAAATTTTCTCGGATATGCAAAAATGAGCACACAAGGTAAATATATTCAAAAATAAACAAAATTGCAAAATATATACAAAATAAGCTTTTTCAAGCATTTGCTTAGATTTGTCAGCCTTGCTTATGATTGACAACTAGTTCTACTTTTTCCCATAACTCATGATTTGTTATCTTCGAAATCTCTATAATGGTCCATTAGTATGAGGGTAAAACTATGCAATGCTCTTTTTCAGGTGAAGGATATTAAGAAAGACTCTCAATTCGAGCTAACTGATTCGAGATCACGTTTTTGGCCACCTGCAGAGGTTTGTTTTAATTGATCAAACGGTTGTAAGGGTCTAGCAAGTACAACACTGTAATTTTTTTCTTTTTAAGTCGCTTAACGAAAAATCTACATTCCATGGCTTACGTATGATACCAGCTGGCTTTGATATCACCAACCTAAATCATTACAAAGACGAAAAGAATCATTGGCATCGTAAAGCGACCACCCGTTTTGATTATGTACCACATGACTCTGATATACAAGAAATGAATGAAGAGGAACTTACAAATCATCGTTCGCGAGGTCGACATGCCGAAAGCTCATCAAATCAAAATAAGAGCATTTTAGACACAACTGTGCCAAAACTAAATGAGGATCCTATAGACTTTGGCAATTTCCCTAAGCATGAGGTTAAGAGCAGCATACCCAAAGCGGAAGAGCAGCAATCATCACCCAGTGGAAGCAAGTAATACCCAGCAAAACAAATTTTAAATCCGATACTAATACAATTGTATATAATTGGAAATATTTCAGTTTAAGCTCCCCTGCTCCGCGAAAATATGGTAGCCGCCGTTCGCTTAAATCTCCAGCTGCTCAAATAAATAAAATTGATGAAATACTTCGCAGTGCTTATGACGAAAAGGAAGGTGGCAATGATGAGATACTGGACTTGAAAAATCTCAACTCTAGCGGCTGCAAAGATGAATCTGATAACACGGAGCTGTATTCTGCTGAAGACGGAAATAACGGCGGGTCTTCGTCGGGAAATGAACAATTTTCTTCTGATCAGCATTCATCCAATAACCGCTCATTGATTAGAAGTCGCTTGCAAAAAAAATTGACTGCACAACATGCACACTTAAAGCATATAGAAGAACAACTAACGTCCGAACTGAATGGATCCAAGCCCGAATCCTTTCGTGTTCAATTGCCGCAAGTATGTGACTTACTAGAAGTTGTGGGTGAGCATAAACTAAAAACTAAATTCATTGACCATTTGGTGCTGGCCCATTCTAAAGTGCCGCTAACCTCGCTATCAACCATATCAGAAGCGTTCTTTCTCAAAGAGATACACGACGAAATGGAGAATATGCGTGTTACCAAGCTGTATCGCATACAAGCTTACTCTTGGCCACACTTGTTGCGTGGAAATTCGCTCTTTGTCGTGAACCCAAATAAGTCGGGCAAAACATGGAGCTATTTGCCCGCGATTTGCAGTTTGGTGGCTTATCGCATACAAAGTTGTCGCCTAGCCGAGACTTATGGTCCTGTCGCTATTATCTTAGTCGCCACTTCGGCACATGTGGAGGTTGTGCATAGCCATTGTAAGCGCTTGCTTTTAGGCGTGCGGCCGGCAGTGACGACAGTTCCTTCATATGGAATCCGCAATGCAAATGATGCAAAAATCCAATTGCTTAATAGTTGCGGCATATTGATAGCGACGCCAGCTAGTTTATTGCGTCTTTTGCAGGATAACGAAAATGAATCGTTAATTGACATAGAGCGGCTCAAGCACTTCGTTATTGATGATTTAGATTTGATGCTTTCGCGTTCTCAGGATGATATAGAAACGGTTTTGAAGACGTTCTTCATTATGTCTAAGCGTAGCGGTAACAAAGACACAGCACAAGCAAACTTGGCTTGGCAGTTAGTGGTGACATCACGTGATTGGGATTCGTTGCTTGTGGCATTGATGCGTAAATCAAACCAACCGTTGCTCTTAATAGGAGATTTTCTGGAGGCGGCTGTGTATGGCAGAGTCATGATATCTATTAAACTGTGTCCCAGCGAGCGTAAGATCGGGACAATTTTGGAATTTATAGAACAAAACGCACTGGAAAACGAACATATTCTTGTGCTGTGTAACAGCGACGATGATGTCTATGAAGTCGTGGATGCGCTTACTACCTCCGCGTATGTGTGTATTGCCTACGACAGCCACGCTTCATCGGATGTGCGCATCTTAATCGAGGAATGGAAGAAAAAGAAGGTAACACACTTGAATACTACGTTTTTTATTTGATATTTATATGAATAGTTTAATTTCAGGTAATATCCTCGCGCATCGTAGTTTGCGCCGATTCCTCGTTTACAGATCTGCGAATCCAAAATGTGTCATATGTCATACATTATTCCATGCCCACATCTTGGACCAAATTTACAGCACGCTTTTCAGCATTAGCGCAAACCTATGACAACTATGTAAGTAAGAATTTCGATTTGCCCACTGGCTCGGACCGACCAACCGCGCGCTCCTTGATATTGCTTGACGAAGAGAATAGCATTCAGCTGCCGCGTTTGATGGATTTCATGAAAAGGCATGATCAATTGAGATTGATACACGCAGATATTTTAGCTGTGTCCAAGCGAGTGTTGATTGAGCGCGAAGAAGGGAGAATACTACAAGGCACGCGTATGTGCCCTTATGTACTTGAATTTGGGGAGTGTGATGAGGCGCGATGTGACTTCCGTCATAACCTTACGCGTTTCGATGCAGTTTCTAAAAAGGATCACATTCCAACAGCCGGCGACATCCGCATACTAATATTAAAGGTTTGTAGTGGTCATATTTCGGAATTTGTGTAACAATTTTTATTTTTTTTGTTGGCATTTTCAATAGGTATTTTCACCCACTCATTATGCCGCCCGTTTGCTACAACATCGCTCACCAAACTCCGCCAAATGGAAAGATATTCGACGCTCCAAGGAGGTCTGCAATTTCAGCATGCAAATGAATTTGCATTATTTGAAACGAGAGAATTGGAATATGCATTGGCCATTACATATAGGTGATTTGTGTGTTTACAAATACGCGGATTCGTATCAACGGGCTCGTATTCTTGAATTGCCAGATGTGCGAAATACGGACATTATTAAAACTATAAAACTAACTGTGAAATTGATCGACGAGGGTAGCATCATTTCTAGTGTTAAATCCGATGAACTATTCGTGTGCCATGACAAATTTAAAGAGTTTCCTGCGCAAGCAATTAACATACGGCTCTCAGGTGTCGTTCCATTCGACAACGAGCGCACCTGGGATACGAAGGCTACTAAAACTGTACAAAAGTGGATAATGACCGATATTAAAATGAATGAGTGTGTACATGTAAGCATCAATTTCACACTTACCGACACAGTTTGGATAAACAACGTAATTGTGATGGAGCAGCTCGAAAAGGTGGGACAATATGTGTACCATTTGAATTTGAAGCGCTCACTATTGGAGAAAAATATTGCGTCAGCAGCTGATTGCAAACGACAGGGCATACGCGAAATAGCAGAGGAATTACAATTACTTGCAAGTGACGATGCAGATGCCACAGTTAGTGACTCTGAAATGGATTTCAAGAGTTGTAGTGAGCACAATGCAAGTAACCTAATAAAATTTTCCTCTAATGATGTGACTATGGAAAGTGAAATGCTACTACAGGCGGACAATCCAGAAAACAACGCAAAAGAGGTGCAGAAATCTGAAGAGCCAACCAAAACCAATGGTGTCAAAGAAGAAGACGAACAAGAAGATTGGGATGCACAATTAGGTGCTAATGAGGTTAGTGTTCCACAATTGAAAGTAAGCAGACGAGTTTTGCGACATCGACAGCGAAACGGTTTTGTGATGTGATTAAAGAATATTTCGACTTATTATAGGATAAATACACATAAAAACAAGCTCATAGGGGTTAGGTAAGGCAGCGCAGTCGAAAAATGGGGACTTAATAGAATGAATTATTGAATGACCAAATTCTAAGACAGAAAGCACTTTAACATACTAAAAGTCTTGCAAATGAGTCAATATGTACGCGGAAAACAAAAAAGTTCGTGGGTGGATATTTTAAGAGCAGTTTGATATTGCAGACAAGTTTGTAATGACAATTGTGGAAAATCTACATACTCCATTATCATAACACTTTCCAAATGTTCGAAAGCGTTTGATATTTCTTTGAAATCAACGAAACATTCCCCGCATCATTTTCGACTGTGGAGTTGCTATTTTTAATTTAAAACGCTCATATCACGACACTAATGAACTCATTTTGCAGATTTATTTGCCCCTACGAATAGACGACGCCCCTGAAAAAAGCGATCCGGCGCCAACGACAGTATTGTCTCAAATTGATCAACCCGACGTTTTAACCACCAAAACATGGAAGGAAGAGTGGCTTGCATTGCCCACAGAGGAGATTGTTAAGGTGGAAATTGGAAGTGAAGAAGAAAATGGTAATTGGGGTGACATTTATTTGCAACATGTCGGCGATGAACAAATGCAAATATTCGATGAATTACTCGAGTTAACTAAATCTCACGTAAGACAGTTGCAGCGAAAGACGTTAATTCCATTTCCTGCTTCTTGGTTCAAGCCTATGCAAAATTGTATCGTACACTATGAAGATAGGTACTTGCGCGCCAAGCTGTATGGCATCTTTAGTACCGATTCTTCAATTGGCGCCTCTTCTTCGTCTATATATCGTTTCTTTTTATGCGATTACGCATGTTTCATAATGGCAAAACCTGAAGATTTGTATAATGACTTTTTGTATCCAACCACCAAAGAAATAGTGGAGTTTACACCTTATCAGGCGGTGCATTGTTCTCTTGCTGGAATTCAGCTAAATCGTTTTGCGAAGACTTTCAAAGTAACCAAAGATTATCTGTTTGCATATGCGGTAAAAGCACAAGAAACAACACCGGTGGACATACCTGACTTCCACATAAAATCTTATGCAATTCTGTTGTATGAAAATGAAACGGAAAACGATTTAAAAACGATTGAAATGCTCAATAAAGCTTTAATTAGTAACGGTGTTGCCACTGTAGATGAAAAAACAAAACATTTTCTGAATATTAAAATAAAACTACCGGAAGTACCTAAGGATTTGTGTAATTTTCAAGAACTTTTGTGCTGCATACAACGCTCGTTTCAACTAGAAATGGAGGAGGCTAAGTACTCGGTATCTCCGTCTCCATTGCAAGCAATTGAACCACCTAAACTTCAAGCACCACAAGAAAAGGAGCCGGTCGCCGGTAGTGTCCTTAATCCGCACAGACCCTACAAACCATTAAATTCCAAACGTCATGGCGTTTCTAGCGGTAGTGATGAAGAGCCCTTGCTATCATCGACGACCAAAACTTCAAGCAGCAGCGATAACGATCAGTCATTTAGCTCACCATCCACAGCACATGATACCACATCCTCATCGATATCTGGCTGCGCGCCTCCACCAGCATTACTAACGAAACACAAACGCCCACATGTTACCTGGTACGATACAGATTGTTTCATCTATTTGGTCATAAACGCGCCCGATATTAACGACTATTACCTAGAAGTAACTGCTGACAACTTGATATTTTACGCCATAATTAACGATCAACCACATGCACTAGTGCTCAACTTTCTGGGTATTGTGGAGCCTTCGTTGATTTCACACGAAATACGCGGTTTAAATGTGATGGTGCGTTTGGTCAAGGGCGTATTCATGAAGTGGCCACGTCTATTGCAACAGTCGATGCGGTACCCATGGATCACTTTCAACTTGAACGCCATTGATTTGACGGAGGTGGAGAAACTGCTGCCACAACAGCAACTGGAAATGATTCTGCAGAAAACAGCAGCACTTAACCGCAGCGACAGTTATAGTAGTGATGAATCTGATGACGAAGAACGCAATCTATTTCAAACATTTACACCCATAATTAACAGCGAGGATATACATGATCCCACTGTTGAGATATTTTGACACCAAAAGGCAATGAATTCCTTGAACATTAAGTTAGGCTACGTATTTGGCATTCAGATGGCGTTCGGCTTGCATTTCTAAAATGTTACCTATTCTTAGACAACGAATTTAAACACATTCATATTTTTGAATATACCAAATAACTGTTATTTTTTTGTTTTGAGAATTTCTTTTACTATTACTTTGAGTAACTACTTGTATAAAATTTTAAGAAACCTACAAGCATACATTAAAAAGTGACTTTTGAATGAAATTCCGCTGCGCTAATATGTACATATTTACATTAATCGTATACATACACACCATATATACCTTAAGAATTTCGAATATAAGTTCTGGGATTTCCAAAGCTAATAGTTTTTGTTCTTAATAAATGTATAAAGAGTGATTCTTATACTCGTATGTATATCAAGATATTTTTTGTTTGGGATAGTCTGGGATTAAAATATATAATTATTTGGGTAGGGTGGTTGAAGGTGTTCTGATTAGATTGGATTAGCTTTAATTTTATTAGTATCCGCAAGTGGCGCTATGCAACAAAAACAGCTGTAAAAATTTGCTTGCATTGTTGGGTGTAATAACCCATTTTAATGGTGATAAATAGTGAAAATGGAGCAAAAAATAGCAGCCTCATTTTAGCCCCTCGCTCGCTCGTTAGTGTGCTCTGAGCTTGCGCAACTCACGAGCAACACGCGTTATAAAACTTCTACTTATACACTTATAAGGCATTCGCACGAGGCGATTTTTCAGGCAACTTTTAGTTGAAAGAAAAAATCGCCTCGTCCGAACGGCCTTTCAACTAATCGCTTTCAACAAAGTTGGTCCCCAGCCAATTTTGAGCTCGTTCAACTTGTTTTTCTTGCAACACTGTGTTTCCTTACATTCTGTATACATACTTTTTTCTTTGTAATTTTACTTTATCTTTCAGCTTCGCTAAAAGCACTTCTACCAACGCTTGGCTTACCAAATTTACGCCAAATGATAAAATTTTGCAATTTAAATTCATTTTCAATAATGTAAATAACAATTCGTGTTGAATCGAAAATCGCCTCGTCTGAATAGGGATGGCAAATTTTCCACTTTCAACTTCACATTCAACTTTTGTTGCCTGTGAAATCGCCTCGTGCGAATGCCCTATGAGGTATCTTTTTATGCGGTCCTTTTTTATGCGGATTTGAGTTTATGCGGTTTTTCAAACACTTTTTTCGCTGTAGGGATTTTGTTTTTTTGAGAGCTTTTATTACATTTTTTCAATGTGTAAGGGGCAATGCTTCTGATAAATAATTTATCTTTGTATTCTTACATACAAGTAATTACTAAGTAATTCGACTAAGTAACTATGTTACATATGTATAACTGTGAATAAAATATTTATAAAAATCATTATTTTGTCGTTCATTACATAAAAGTTGTATGTGAACCAGCCACTATTTGCCAACGCAAATTGTCCCATGGCTGCATATCCATACATACTTACATATGTATGAACATATGTCCTTGAACAACAGGCCACAAATACATTTTTTCACCAAGGATTATATTTCATTCAGGTATACAGCATAACTGCTACAAGTAGCAAACTATTTTGGGGGTGTTAACAAGTGCTTACTTGTTTTTTGTTTCTGCGGCACAAACGATTATAATATCTTCGTTACTTCCCAACAAGCATTTCAGTAAATGTTTTTAAAAATAACTTAAAGTAAGTTTACTATAATAAGCGTTAAATAAGCATTTTTAATATTAAGCTTATTAAAAGTTTTTTCAAATAAACCTTTAATAAGTTTTGAGAGTGAATGTTTATAAATAACTTAAACTTATAACTGAAATGCAAATGCCAACGACATGAAGTAGTAAATATAACATTTTTTCAATCGTAAGTGACGTGTTTACGTTCTTTTAAATATATTATTAAAAGAAAAAATTAAATAAAACCGATGCGGTAAAAAAAAATCCAATTCAGGACCTGCTGCGCTAATCGGTGGAGCATTCGAGTCTTCAAATGATGAGTTCTCCTTATCCTTTCTTAGTTTAATATTCAGTTAAAAATGTATTAAATTCTTTTCAGAAAAGTTCATAAATGAGAATGGCGGCGATGAAGCGGAATATATATTTGCATCAATGTCGTTTTTCCAATTTGCCAAGTTATTTTTAAAAACATTTACTGAAATGCTTGTTGGGATGTTATGTATGTGCACATGTATGTATATAACTCTAAAAAATATTTAATTCCATAATCTATGCTTATGTATGTAATAAATTTTATTTTTTGTTTTAAATGCTGCCCTAATATAATATTCAGATATTTATATGCATATGGGTGTTTCCATCGGAAGGTCCACCACGACAAAAAAAAAGTAAAATCTTATATCTAACGTATTTACGGGCCTATTTGTTTGCTTTTTAAAATATATACTGGCTATGTAAGTAAAATCATGTTTGTATTTGCGTTAAAAATTCATTTAAAAGCAATATTAACAAAAATATAACGATGGAAATTTATGTCACGTGACGCTATGTCACGCGACGTTTCACACTTGGGGTTGTAAAAGAAAATTGAAACAAGTTGGATTAATTCAAAAAACTCTAAGAACAACTAGAATTGCTCCAAATCATTAAAATAAGTTTCATGAAAATAGCCATCCGCAGTTCGCAGAGTTTTGCGATTTTGTAAGACAAGAAAAAATCGACTTCCATTTTTTGTCACGTAACGACACTCTCTTTAAATGCTTATGTTTCAGGACCAAGCAGTTCGATTGTTTTTATTTTTCGGTTAAATATAGAGCGGATGTCGGCCGCTGTGGTATAGTGGTAAGCAGTGCGCGCTTCCACTCCGCAACGCCTGAGTTCGAACCATGGTCAAAGCAACATCGCAAAAAATATAGAAAAAAGGTTTTTTCTTAACAGCGGTCGTCCCTCGGCAGGCAATGGCAAACCTCCGAGTGTATTTCTGTCATGA